CTCTCATCGTTCTCTCCCTTCTCCTATCTCCTCTCTCCGTTCCAACATCTCCTCTCTGTCTCAGACTTTTCCTCTCGTCTCACTCTCTCTCTCTCGGCTCCTCTCTCTCTCCCTCTCTCCATCTTTTCTTTCTTCCACTCTCTCTCGTCTCTCTTCTCCTTCTCACTCTGCGTTCTCTTCAACTTCTCTCTTCTCATCTTCCGCTCCTCCCTCATCATCTTTCTCTCTCCTCTCTTCTCTTCGTCTCCTTCTGTCTATATTCTCCTCGTCCTCTCTTCTCTCTCCTCGTATTTCTCCGCTTCGTCATCTCTCCCTCTCTCTCCCCTTCTTCCCGGCCCGCTTCATCACTCACGCTCTTTCCTCTCCCGGAGGCTTCTTCATCGTCGCTCTGCCTCCATACCTTCTCCTCCTCTCTCTCTCTCTCGTCTCTCTCTCTATCTATTCGCTCTCGCCTTCTCTTTCTCTTTCTTTCTTTCCTTTTATCTTTTCCTCTCTCTCTCTCTCTCTCTCTCTCCCAGATCTCTTCCGATCCCCTCTCCCTTTCCAATCTCCCACTCTTCCCTCTCTCTCTCCGTCTCTCTCTCTCCTCTCTCTCTCCTCTCTCATCTCTCTCATTCTCTCCGTCCTCTCTTCTCCTTCTCCTATCTTCTCCCTTCCCCTCTTTCTCTTCTCTTCCTCGATTCTTTCTCCTTCTCTTCTCTTCTCTCTTCTCTCCTCTCCTCTCTCTCTTTATTCTTTTTTTTTCTCCCCCTCTCTCAGCATCTCTTCTCCTCTCTCTCTCTCCCCTCGTCTCTCTCTTTCCCCTCTCCTACTCATCTCTCCTCTTCTTTTCCTCTCCTCCTCAGACACTCCTGCTGTTCTCTTACATTCTCTCGTCTCTCTCCTGTTGTTCTCTCTCTCTTCTCTCTCCCCTCTCTCTCTCTCGTCCCCTCTCTCTCTCCGTCCTTCTCCTCTCTCTTCCCTCTCTCTCTCTCTCCTGCTCCCTCTCATTTCAGTGCCCGTTCCGACAGACTCTCCTCCCTCCTCTCGTTCTCTCCCCCATCGCTCTTCTCAACTATCTCTCCTCTCTTTCTCTCTCCTCCTCTCGTCTCTCCTCCGTCGCTCCTCTCTCCTCCTCACTGCTGTTCTCTCTCTCCTTTCCTCTCTCTCATGTCTATACTCTTCTCTCTCCTTCTCTCTCTCTCTGCGTCCCTCACTGCGTTTTTTTTTTTCTCCGCTCTCTGCCTCTCCTGATGTTTTTTCTCTCGTCTCCTCTATCCTGTTTTTTTTTTTTTTTTTCTTTTCGCCTTTCTCTCTACCTCCTCCTGCTCCCTGGTTTTTTCTCGCTCTCTCTCTTCTTCACCCTGCTGTTTCTTTTTTCTTTCTCTCTCTTCGCTCATTCTCCGCCTCGGTTCTCTCTCCCTCTCTCTACACTCATCTGTCTCTCGCTCTCTCACCGCCTCTTACTCCTGGTCCCTCCTCTCTCTCTCCACTCTCTTTCTCTCCTCCCTTCTCCACTCCTCTCTCTCTCTCCGCGTCCTGCTGTTGTTCTTTCCTCTTCTCACTCTCTATCCTCCTCTGCCCCCCCATCCGTCTCTCCTCCCAGCATCTTCTCCTCATCCTTCTCCTGCTGTTCCTCTCTCATCCTACTCTCCTTCATCCTCTCCCCTCCTCTCTCTCCTCAGTCTCTCTCTTCTTCCCTCCCCTTTCTCTCGCTCCCCGACTCTCCTGCTCCCCGTCTGCTACTTCCGCTCTCCGTCCCGCCACCCCCTGTCTCTCCTCCTCGATCTCTACCTCCCTTCCTCCTCCCTCCCCTGCCTGTTCCTCTCCCCCTCTCTCTCGCTCATTCTCTCCACCTCCGCGGTCAAAGCCGCCGCTAATCAATGTCTCTTCACTCTCTATCCTCCCCTCCCCATCATCACTCCTCCATCTCGTCTCAAGTCCTCAATCGGCTCTCTCTCGTTCATCCAACTCACCTCGGATCACCTCGCCTTGCCTCCTTCAATTCGCTCGCCCCTTCTCCTCTCCTATCTCTCTCTCACTCCCCCCCTCCTGCTGTTCTCTGCATTCCTCTCTCTCTCTCGTCCTGCTGTGTTTTTTTTTTTTTTTCTCTCCTCATCTCATATCTCCTGCTGTTTTTTCTCTCTCTCTCACTCTCATCTCTCCTTCACCCTCCTGCTGTTTTCTCTCTCCCTCTCTCCTCCGTCCTCGTCTCTGCTGGTTGTTCTCTCTCTCCTCTCCCCATCCCTCCCTGCCCTGGTTTTCTCCCTCTCCGCTCCATTCTTCACTCCTACTGCTGTTTTTCCCTCTCAGCCTCTCTCCCTTCCATCTCAGCTCTCTGCTGTTTTTCTTCCCCTCTCTCTCTCTCTCTCTCCCCTCCTTCACCCTGCTGTTTTTTTCTCCTCTCTCTCCTCTCCTGCTGTTTTCTCTCTCCTCTCCTCGTCGTCTCTCCTCTCGTCTTCCCTGTCGATCTGCTGTTTTCCCCTCTCTCTCTTTTCTCTCTCTCGTCCTCCTTCTCCTCTCCCCTGCCCCTGCTCTGGTTTCCTCCTCCGTCTCTCGTCTCTCTCTCCCCTGCCTGTTTTCTCTCTCCTCTCCCGATCTCCTGCTGTATTCTCTCTCCTCTCTCTCTCTCCTGCTGTTTTTTTTTTTTTTTTTTTTTTTTTTTTCCCGTCCTCTTCTCCACCTTTCCCTCCCTCCGTCCCGCTCGCCTTGCTGTTTTCCCTCGATCTCAATTCTCTCTCCCCTGCTGTTTTTTCCTCTCTCCCCGGTCCCTCTCATCTCCTCTCTCCCCCTCTCAGTCCTCGCCTGTTTTTTTTTTTCTCTCTCTCGTCTCCTCTTCTCTCCCTCTCACTCCTCTCTCCTACTGCTGTTTTCCCTCTCTCTCTCTCTCTTCTCTTATCCCTCTCGCTCTCCTCCTTCTGCTGTTTTTTTTTTGGTTTGTTGGGTTGTCTTTTCTCTCTTTCTTCTCGTCCTTCCTGCTGTTTTTTTTTGTTTTTTTCCCTCCCTCCCTCATCTACTCTCTTCTACTTTTTTTTCTTCTTTTTCCTTTCCCTTTTTTCCTTAAAAAATCTTTTCCCCTCGTCTCTCCGGTCTCTCTTTTTTAACTTTTCCCTTTTTTCCCCCTCTCTACGTTGTTCCCAGTTTTCCTCTTATTCCTCTAATAACGCCTCTCTTTCTCTCTCCCTCGTTTTTCCCCCCTCTTTTCCATTTTTCCTCGCCAAGCCTTCCTTCCTCCCTCCTCCCCCCTATCTTCATCTGCCTTTCCTTTTGTCCCCCCACCCCCGCCCCCATCCTCCGCGGTCCGTTTTTTTTTTTTTTTTGTTTTTTTTGTTTTTTCAGAAACATATCCTTCAAAAGAGAAGAGAGAGCAGGATGTGTGGGGTGGGAACGAGTGGGAAGAGAGGAGAGTTTTCTCTCTCTCCTCTAATCTCCTCTCTCTCCTCACAATCCTGTGGCTGTTTTTCTTACTCCTCCTTTCCTTCCCTCTCTCTCTCTCTTTCCTTCTCTCCTGCTGTTTTCCCCCATCTTCTTCTCGTCTCCTCCATCTCTCTCTCCCCAACTGCTGTTTTTCTCTCTCTCATTCTCCCTGCTGTTTTCCTTCCTCTCTCCCCCCCTCTCTCTCCTCACTTGCCCTGTTTTCCCTCTTTCTCTCCTCTAATCCTCCCGTCTCTTCGCTCTTCTCGCTGGCTGTTTTCTCATCCTCTCTTCCCCTCTCCTCGTCCTGCAGTTTTTTCTTCTCCTCTCTCGTCCTCTCTCTCGTCTCTCTCTTCATCTCCTGCTGTTATTCCCCCCCTCATCTCTCTCTCCTGCTTCATATTCTCGCTTTCTCTCTCATCTCCCACAAGTCCCGTCCCCTCCTCCCTCCCTCCCTTCGAGCCCGCTCTCACGCGCGCTCTGTATCTCACCACTATCTCAACTCCTCTCGGGCTCTTCCATCCCCCTCTCCTCTCCTTCATCTCCTGCTCCCTTCCATGCTCCCCCCAACGCATCCCCTCTCTCGTTCCCCCTCAAACCTTCCCTCTCTCTCATCTCAGATCCTCTCTCGCATCCTCTCCCTGCTGTTTTCTCTCTCTCTCCTTAGGCTCTCCTCTCCTCCATCTCTCTCTCCTGCTGTTTTTTCCCCTCCCGTTCCTCGTCCTCAGTCCCTCTCCTCTCCTCCCCTCCTGCTGTTTTCTTTTCTTCTCCCCTCTCGTCTGTTTCCTCTCCTCGTCTCTCTCTCTCCTGCTGTTTTCTCCCTCTCTCTCTCCTCCTCCTCCCCCTCCCCCGCTGTTTTTCCCTCTCCTCGTCTCCCCCCCTTCTTCTACCTCTCTCCTCAAAAAAATCTCTATGATACTTACATTTTAATTTTTTAACTGTTACTTTCCAACAGTTGAATTTGTCTATCCCAATTTCCAACATTATACAAAGTAGCTTTTTGTATGCCTTTTATAAACACATAAAACATAGACACCAAATTTTCATTATCAGCAGAGTAATGGGCATTGTCAAATATGTATTTGTTTATGTTATTTCAGCATATAATTTTGTGAATAGTTGAATTTATTTCTATTTATTAAAAAAATTATGCTACATCAACATCTAAGGTCATTAGCAGCATATTCAGAATATAGTGAAGTGTGGGGCTTAGGGGGAAAGCCCTTAGTAACTTTTTGTTGTTGTTGTTCAAGTAAGGCATTGGGTGTGGATTTCCTGAATGGTCAATGGTCAAAACAAACAAGTGTAGCAGACATCAAAGGTTAAACAGCATTATGGTAAAGTATTGTGGCAAAAAGAGTAAATATGGATTGACAATTTGGATAAGTGGATAGAAGGGAATCAAAATTACTAGTGGTATCCACATATCATTCATCTATAAAGTATTCATGAGGATTGTAGGAATATAAATATCCCTAATGTTAAGGGTTGACTAGTTATTTCATTCTATAATCACATCATTTTTGTTTTATTTTATTATTTTTTTCTGTCTGGTATTCTTCATTGAGTATTGCCATAATGTTTTAATCATTTTATTTATTTTGCAGTGACATGAGCCAAGCTGTGCAACCCCTGAGCTTCCTGTACAGGTTTGGCAGCAATCTTGGTCTGCGTTATGGCCAGGTGGTCTTGCCTTCCCTGCTTACCAATTTTGGGCCTATGTACTTTGCTAAGATCAAGAGAATTAGGTGAAAAGAGAGAGAAATGAAGAAAATAAATTGGGATTTCAAGCATTGTGTCTAGAGCAAAGAAAAAATAAGAGGACCCATCCACATGATTAAGTACTGCCCAACTGGTACAAGGTTAATGCCAGTTGTTTGAGCAAAATTAACAGGCTCAGCAAGGTAGTAGCCATGCATATGCTCATGCTTAAGATAATCAATAGATTGGTCTGTCTGCCTCGCAGTTTGGCCACTTGCTATCAACACAGACAGACCCCAGCACCCCCATGTGCAGGACACATTTTTCCCGATGAACAGGCAAAGTCCACTGGGCATACTTCAGACATATGGACAGGGTGTTAGAGATGAGAGAACGGAGGAAATTGAAAATAAGTACTGTTGCATAGTTTTCTGTGATACATTTCAATAGCTAAACCTTTCATTTTTGTAAATATTCATGTAAATATTTTGGAAAAGATGATGCTTGTAATAGAGCATTTTCTAATTAAAATAAATTGCAATTAATTTTTGTTGTTTTATTTTCTGTTTATATAGTGGTCAAATGTTGAGGATCTTTGATAGCTTTATAAATGTATATAAAAACTTGAATTATTTAATCTTGGTTTATCCTTAGACTTTCTTGATATAGTGTTCACATGAAATTTTACTGTTGTGGACATACAAGCAGTAGTTTACTAATGATCTTTCTTACTTTCATCTGATTTCAAGGTAGTGAATTAAATAATACATTTTATCATAATCCATGTAAGGCATCTTAGCATTACCTAACCAAAACTGTATTTATTGAATATCTTCTGCCACAGCAATATCTAGGTTCATTAGCATTGTATTCAAAATATAGTGATAGTGTGAAGCTTGGGAGCAAAGCCCCCAGGTAAGGAAATGCTACACATCATCAAGGTCTTATAGCGCTATGGTAAATTAGTGTAGCATTAACCCAATGGCGCCGGGTGTACAAAAGAAAAAAAAAACTCTACGCTTAAACAAACAAAGGCGGCGAGCCGACTTTGAGCACGTGAGTAGGGGACATCAGCCCGAATCACTGGCTCGCCGCCGGCTCGTTCGGCTGCACGCCAGCTTTCGAGCTCTTTGTGTACACGCCGATCGGCATCACCCGGCATCAAGGGGTTAAGAGTTAAGAACAAGTTAATGATTATAGGTTGAACAGTACTAGAGGGTGGTATGGTAGTTAAAAGTGTAGAGAGGGGGAGCTGATAGGCTATAGTATAAGGCAATGGTTAGTAGTAGTAGTAGTAGTAGTAGTAGTAGTAGTAGTAGTAGTAGTAGTAGTAGTAGTAGTAGTAGTAGTAGTAGTAGTAGTAAAGGGAGGAGGAAGCATTATGATAAAGTATTGTGGCAAAAATGGCAAAAAAATAGTTTAATAATTAGGATAAGTGGACAGAACAAGGGGATGAAGAAAAGGAAAAGGAGAGGAGGAGAATGAAAGATTATGCAAAATTAGTTGAGGCTAGGGCTGGTCCCCTATATTGGGCCTCAGTCCCCATTTCCTGAACCCCTCCACGATAATAACGAGCAAGGGATTGGGGGGTGGGACCAAAACCATATGCTCAAGAAAATCATCTGCCATATCAACAGATACCAACTTGGGCATTGGTGCCTATGAAATGCTGGAAATGCAGCAGGGGGGGGGGGATTGTCCCCATGCTGTACCAACATGTAGCTTCATTGGCAGCATATTCAAAATAGTGATTGGGTGATGCTTGAGGGCAAAACCCTCAAGAAAACAAGTTTTTTTGGTTAATAAGGCTTGTTTCTATATTCTCAGAATGATTAATGGTTAAAGCAAAAAAATTACTAGGAAAGGTCACATAGCATAAAGTGTGGCAAAAAAAGTAAAACTCGGTTAATGATAAGGGTAAGTGGACAGAAGGAGATTAAGAAGAGAAGGAAAAGGAAAGGGGGAGAAAAGACCATGCAAAATTAGTTGAGGCTGATATCAAGGGTAGATGTAATCCCTGCTGTGGGCCTAAGTCCCCATCTCCCAAGCCCCTCCCCCCCTCCATGACAATCAAATTAATTCTGAATTTACCATATTTTAGGTATTGGTTCAGTCTCCAAGCCAGATTCCTTCTCTTCAAAACAATGAACATTACTTTTTGCACAAACCCTAAACTAGAAGTATCCTGCAAGAGTTACAATTATAGCCATGTGAGAATCCAAGATTTTTTTTTTTTTTTTTTTTTTTGGTCAGGGCCATTTTCTCAGGTTGGGCAGGGACAATAACCAATTTATAAATATATTTTGCACAAACCCTAAACTAGAAGTATCCTGCAAGAGTTACAATTATAGCCATGTGACAATCCAAGATTTTTTTTTTTTTTTTTTTTTTTTTTTGGTCAGGGCCATTTTCTCAGGTTGGGCAGGGACAATAACCAATTTATAAATATATTTTGCCCAATATCAGTTCCCACATTTTCCAAACAAATTTACTAATCTAACCTACTTATTGATTTTTTTCTGCCACATCAACATCTAAGGTTATTAGCAGTGTATTAAAAATATAGTGATAGTGTGAAGTTTGGGGGGTAGCCCCTAGGTAAGGAAGTGCTAAATGACATCAAAAGTTATAAAGCATTATGGTAAATTATAGTAGTGAAAAGTGTTAAGAACAAGGTAATGATTAGGGTAACATTATAGGTGGAACAGTACTAAAGGGTGGTTTGGTAGTGCAAAGTGTAAAAAGGGGGAGCTGATAGGGTATAGTACAAATTATGGTTGTTAGAATGGCAAGGAGTTTAGGGAGTGGGAAGCAATATGATAAAAGTACTGTGGCAAGAATTAGTTGACATGTTTAAGTTTATACAAAAAAAAAGGTACCTTAACCACTTGGTGAAAACTAAAAACTACGCTCTGGTAATCAATGGCAGCATGCCAACTTTGAGCGCAGGAGTTCGGTACATCAGGCCGAATCACTGGGTCACCACGCCGCTGCAGTATACAGCCGCACTCCACATTTCGAGCGGTTTGTTTTCACTCCCTATAGGCATGACCCGTCGGGAAGGGGTTAAATGTACTTAACTCTCATCAATAAGAAATCCATCAAAAATGTAAAACTCAATAAAATGGGGGTGAAAAAAGGAACAAATAAAACAGTGCATAGTTTTCATGAATATTTATTTGGTTTTCACTGTATGTAACTACAACTTACATTCTCACCAAGAGAAAGGAAAGGTCTCTTGCCTACAAATGTTCCAAAGTTTGAGGTGGTTACTTTCTCTAATAAAGCAAGGGCACATCATTTAAAACTACCTTTCACTGCAGGAAGGCCCTTTCCAATAAGAAATGACATTGAATTTTCTTTAAAAATACTTCTCTCCAACCGAAAAGTTAGTCCGATTTTTTTTTTTTTTTGAGGGGGGGGGGGCATCACAGTCTCATTTTCGAAGGTTTGGTCCCGCAAAAGCAGATGAGTAAGAGTCTAGTCATGAATCGATAACAACATGTACCAGACTCTCACCTATCGACTCTCACGGGGAAAAAAGTAAAAACTGACTGAGACCAAGATACTCCCCTAGCCAGTCAATCTCTAAGTCATGCTCCTGGCTACATTTTCTAAGCCTACTAAATAAAATAAATTAAATATATAAAACTACATATCTAATCTTTCATAAATAGCAATTCCTGGTTAAAATCAGAGAAAGTAATTTCAAATCAAGCCCTAAAGTAGACAGACCACCACATCGGCAACACTGAGGTCAAACCTTTCAAAAGCGGCGAAGAAATTCAAATCCTAAGACTTTCAAGTTTTTATATCTGAAAATAACTAGTCTACACATTTTAAAAGGGAATTACAAAAATTAACACGAATACAAATTCCTTCAGTGTAAAGAGTGAGAAGTACACAAGAACAAAGGAAATGCTTTGTGGTGTAACTTTACTAGATATAATGCAAAAAGGAATTTTCTTTTTTAAGTCTACACACTACAGATCTAATTTTTAATAAAATGTCTACAGCAAACCTACGTTCTAAACAAGAGAAAGAAAAATAAACAATTCATCAGGAATGAATTGAATTCGCTTCAATGTCTCGACTCCATTGTCTGTAGGCTTAACCACTATTAACCGTTATTACTTATTTCAAAACTTACAAGAGAAAAACTAAAACTCTTTACTACCGATCCTTCGTGGAAAGCGACCGAACTCAGGCCCAAGAGGAGGTAAAAGTCCTTCCCAAGCGACGAAAACCGAGAGAGAGAAAAAAAAACACAAGCCATTGGTAAAAACGTGGCTTCAAGGACCTTGAGGCACTCCGCCCAAACCAATTTCTTGTTTTCTCTCCTCGAAGCTGTGAAATAACCGACCAAAGCCGTCGTCGCAGTTGAATCCTCACGGGAACTATACATTCCCGGGGCGAAGGGGTGGAAAATGGCGTTCTTCTGTCCACGCTGCTCGAAAAATGGTTGGCTTGGCCGTTCACCTCGCAGCGTCACTTCCGCCATGACACCCACGGTCGGCGGCGAAGGGACGCTGGCTATAACGCACGGTTATTCATTCGTCATTTTAAGGGTGTATTTATTCCTTCGTTTTGGTTCGTTATTTGGGCTTTTTTATATGTTGCATTGAGTGAATTAAGTAGAATTATTTATTAGTATTTCAGTTTTGCGATCTTAAGATAAGTTATTATATAGCTAAATGTTAGGGAGATTTTACATTTATTGCAATAGTCCATGCCTCCTTTCCTCAATTTTGCCAGATTAAATATCAAATATTTTTTATGTAATGATTCATTAAAAAAAGTGTATTTCAAAATCTTAACTTAGGCAGGGTTTGGGTTTATATAGACCATCCCTTTTATGCATGAGCAAGGTTGTTCAAAGAAAGTAAATCTCATATCCGTCTCTTGTATTTCAGTCATTGTAATGATGGTAGCTCGTACTCCTATTCATTTTACACTAACAGCAACAAAAATAAAAGTAATTAAGAACAATAATCATATTATAGCAGTAATGATTTTAATAC